TATTGTGGCGCAGTGGTTCGGCCTGCAGTGTGTAACCTTCATCCCACACACACACACACACACAGCGAGCCTCTCTGATCCGTTAGCTTAGCAACAACACAACGTTTGCAGACAGCAGTAGCAGAGCTCCGGGTGACAGTAGAAGCTGCAGCGGTCTGTCTCTCTCTCTCTCTGTCTGTCTGTCTCTCTCCCTGTCTCTCTCCCAGCCGCTGCTCATTAGCGCTAACTACCGGCTGAGCTCGCTGTTTCCAGCTCACACCGCCGTGCTCAGTCTGTAAATCACTCCGCCGATTGTTGAACCAATGGGGAAGGAGCTCGCGCCGCTCTCAACCAATCGGATTCGACGGCCGCCCCCCCCGCGCAAAGCGAGTATAAATACACCCCAACTAGCAACATCTCATATAGCTTAAAATCCTTGAACACAGCCGAGAGGTGTAGCGCGAAATTTGTCTCGTCATCGTCAACTCCTTTAAAACGCACCGTCAGAAAACATGGTGAGTATGGAATAACGGAATTATGGGATGTATTTATGTTCGATTTAACCGAGCTAACAAACCCCACACACCAATTAACACCAGTTATCGGTTCAAACGGCTCTTAATGGGCATCACCGCACCGGCGAACAATTGGCTCGCTAACTGGCGAACTGTTAGCTCGCTAACGGACGAACTGTTATCTGCAGCCTTAATTATATCTGATGCATTGGCCCATCTGGCTGTTTAGGTCCTGTAATTGCATTTTAAAAAGGGTGATTTTGAATGCGCAGACTGTGTCTCGGTCCATGGTGGTCATCATCATCTCTGCCTCTGCGTGCCTTTGTCCAAAATGTGCTGAGTAATCTGAAGCATCTCGTGGTTAAAATGCGTTTATGTCTTAAATAATAATGTCGTTTTCTCTATTAACCTACTGATTTAGTCCCTGAACCCCTCAGAAAAGGCTTGCTGTCTACCAAAGTGACGTCCTCAAATGTTTTGTGTCTGTGCACAATCCAAATATATCCAGTTTTTAGTCATAAATGACCTAAAGAAAGCAGAAAATGTTCACATTTGATAAGCTTAAATCAGATAATTTGTATTTTTTTTACATCTTAAAGGACTCAAAATGACTAAGCAATTATCACAATAGCTGGAGATTAATTAATTAATAATTGAGCAGATGCTGCAGCTCTAGCAAGTGTCACAAACTGCCTTTGTTCTCTCTCTTTTTCCTCCAGCGTGAGTGTATCTCGGTGCACGTCGGTCAGGCCGGTGTTCAGATCGGCAATGCCTGCTGGGAGCTTTACTGCCTGGAACATGGGATCCAGCCGGACGGACAGATGCCCAGTGACAAGACCATCGGAGGAGGAGACGACTCCTTCAACACTTTCTTCAGTGAGACTGGAGCCGGAAAGCACGTCCCCAGGGCTGTCTTTGTGGACCTGGAGCCGACCGTCATTGGTGAACTGACATTTAATGGATACAACAAATAAGTGTGTGTGTGGTTGCTGTTTAAACCCTCCTATAATCTCTCAGTAATTGGGGATGTCCCAAACAAGTTTTTTTTTTTTTAGGCCCCCAGTCAGTAATTTAATGTCATAATACTTGTATTTGTTTTGAGATAATGTGGGGTCCAGTGTAAAATAGAAGTACATTAAAGTTATTAAAATAATCCACTATATATGCTTGACAATTCATTTATTCTTATATTTTTTTGTCTAGTGGCTGTGTGGAAGGAGTTTCTCTCTCCAGTGTTTGTTGCTTCAGTGTAGCTTTTACCTGAATTAACAGTATACTTTTTCATAGTCTCTACATCTTTAGTGCAAATTACATTTATTGGCTTTGTGTTTGTTGGGGGCTGTTGCACAGGCGGCCCCGCCCATGATGAAACTCTGCAGCGGGCGTGGTCGCTCCTGCTGTCTCTCCTACAGAGATGACTTGCAACAAAAGATCGGATCAATAAAGCTCAACAAAGCCAATACGAGACTTGATTTTTAAAATGCCGGTGCTGATACTAATCAAGATTGGATCAGGACATCCCTAATGGTCATTTATTTATTTTTTTTAGATGAGGTGCGCACTGGGACCTACCGCCAGCTGTTCCATCCTGAGCAGCTGATCACCGGCAAGGAGGATGCTGCTAACAACTACGCCCGCGGACACTACACCATCGGCAAAGAGATCATCGACCTGGTGCTGGACAGGATGCGTAAACTGGTGGGTCAAATGGAACAGAATTTAATTTCAGAATATCAAATGAAAGGACATTACTGTATCTCATTAGTGATTGTCTCTCTGTCCTCAGGCTGACCAGTGCACCGGCCTTCAGGGCTTCCTGGTCTTCCACAGCTTCGGAGGTGGCACCGGCTCTGGTTTCACCTCCCTGCTGATGGAGCGTTTATCCGTTGACTATGGCAAGAAGTCAAAGCTGGAGTTCTCCGTCTACCCAGCTCCTCAGGTGTCCACCGCTGTGGTGGAGCCCTACAACTCCATCCTGACCACCCACACCACCCTGGAGCACTCTGACTGTGCCTTCATGGTGGACAACGAGGCCATCTACGATATCTGCCGCAGGAACCTCGATATCGAGCGTCCGTCTTACACCAACCTGAACAGGTTGATCAGTCAGATCGTGTCCTCCATCACTGCTTCCCTTCGCTTCGACGGCGCCCTCAATGTTGATCTGACAGAGTTCCAGACCAACTTGGTGCCATATCCCCGTATCCACTTCCCTCTGGCCACCTACGCCCCGGTTATCTCAGCTGAGAAGGCTTACCACGAGCAGTTAACGGTGTCTGAAATCACCAACGCCTGCTTCGAGCCGGCCAATCAGCTGGTGAAATGCGACCCTCGCCACGGCAAGTACATGGCTTGCTGCCTCTTGTATCGTGGCGATGTTGTGCCCAAAGATGTTAATGCTGCTATTGCCACCATCAAAACCAAGCGCACTATCCAGTTTGTGGACTGGTGCCCCACTGGGTTCAAGGTTGGCATCAACTACCAGCCACCCACCGTAGTTCCTGGTGGAGATCTGGCCAAGGTCCAGAGGGCTGTGTGCATGCTGAGCAACACCACTGCCATCGCAGAGGCCTGGGCTCGGCTCGACCACAAGTTCGATCTGATGTACGCCAAGAGGGCCTTTGTTCACTGGTACGTGGGTGAGGGTATGGAGGAGGGAGAGTTCTCTGAGGCCAGAGAGGATATGGCGGCTCTGGAGAAGGACTATGAGGAGGTTGGAGCTGATAGTGTGGGAGAGGAGGGTGAGGACGAAGGAGAGGAGTATTAAACAGGCACAGGCATTCCCATGTACTAATCTCTGCCTCTGAAGATAAAATAAAGTTTGTTCATTGACTGCATTATTGATTCTCTTTAATACACTTGGATTCATTACACAGCTCATTAAACACACCGTTCTGTAGTTGGACTTGTGCTGCTGTCTCTGGTAGACGTGAACTGGTTTAAGTCTTAGATTGTAAAGGGGACTATTCTGTCCATAGGTTTCACTATAGATAGATTAGGAATAATTACATTTTATGTAATATTGGTACGTTAATATTGAACTGCTCTAAGCCACTGTTCAATGTTTAACATAAGAAATCTGTCTTTTAGTTCTTTAGTAATTTGTTTAGGACTTAGAACATTGTTTGTCCAAAGGAGAGTATTTCTACCACTTTGGTTTCCATTACATTTAATGTTGAAAAAATACCAAAGCATGCATAATTCCTAAGATAAATGTACTATAGAATTAATTAAATGTAAATGCCACGTAAACCACATTTTATATTTTATTTTTCGGTGCTGCTAACTGCTGTAAACACAAGTCCATGTTTTCTGCTATTTCTCAAGGAGACTCCATCTTAGTGTTATTGAGTCAATAACTGTAATATAGTTACGTGATTCTTAATCTAGTGATGCATTCAGTGTGTTTTGCTTGCAGGGGGCACTTATAACTATTTTAAAAGAGGTACACTGATGAATAAAGTAGAGAATCACTGAGAAGATTTAAAATGACTCCACTCACTTCAGTCACTTGGGGGCGGTGGCGTTCAACACATGTTTGAACTTTACACCAGTTAAAAATGGAAAACCACTCTCAATTTCAGTTATTTTACTACTAAATGTTTCCAGAGTTTTAGCCTGAGAAGAACAGAAATAACCTGTCTGTTAATAATGAAGATTACAGATCATATACTTAACTACTGCATGATGTAATCTATCCATCTAATTGGTCGCCTATCAATTAAACAACAATTATTTTGTACATATTGTCTCTATTTTTATATATTTATAGTCTCTTTTTATCTATTTCTACTTTTATCTTTATTTATACTCTCCATGTTTACTGTAAAGCACCTATTTACTAAGGCAAATGCCCTATTTGGCAATAAACCTGATTCTGATTCTGATCTACATTTGTTCAATAAAGAGGAAATAAAAATGGTTTTAGTGCCATCTTTTATTTTTAATTAATTTTTTAAAACTTTATTTAGACATAGACAATATGGGGGACAGACACAAACAATACATTAGTTAAATAATTATACAAGGTAAATAACCGTAAAGTTTGGATTGCTTTATTTTCACAGTATGGAAGTAAAGTAATGTTTTATAAATGTTACTTTAAAAAAATAAATGGTTTATAATTGGAAAATGTAGATTTGTGGACAACAACACATTTTTTTTATATAAAATGGTAAAACAATATACTGGGGGAAATAAAAGCACAAATAACAAGAATGGGGAACTGCAACCAAAATAACCGATATAAATCTTCTGTTTAAACCCTTTCTATACATCTTTACAAAAACACCTTGCAGGGATAAAAGCGAGGGATCATTATTCGCTCTTAAACACCACAGTTCCCTCCAGCCCGGGTCAGGGAGGCGACATTTGGAGCCCCTTTCTCTCTCTCCCCGTTGTTGTTGTCTTTCTCCCTCTTCAATGTCTCCCTCAGTCGGCCGATCATCCGGGGCACCGCCGGCGCCGACGTCACCGCGCGGCGTGACGTGTGTTCCTGTGACGCGCAGAAATTTTAAACTATCGTCCTTCTCAGTGATGGCGGCTTCGTTTCGTTCTCTCCCCGCAAGCTGTAATAACAAATGGTACTACACCCGACAGCAGATCGACAACAGCCCCTCACGGCGAGCTGGACTTGATCCCGACAAGGAGCTGTCCTACAGGCAACAGGCGGCCAACCTGCTCCAGGACATGGGACAGCGGCTCAATGTGTATCCTTCATTTCTTATTTTTTTTTTTTTTTTTTTTTTTGTCGAGGGACGGCTAGCTCAACGTTAGCCTGTTAGCGAGCGAAGTTTAGCTCCTCATGAAGCCGGGTTGGGTCGAGAGCATGGCTGCTGTCTGTCTGTGTGTGGTTTAAGTTTGTGTGTGTGTGTGTTTGGGGCTCGTCTCGGGGGGTTTTTGTTGCGTGAAGGCGGCCCCAGCTAACGTTATCTAACGGCGGCGTAGTGAGGCTGAAGCGGGGCCGCGGAGGCCTGTGTGGTCGGCGGGGCCTTCAGGACGTTAGCTTCAGCTTAGCCTCGCTCTGTAAGTGTTAAAGAGTTAGAGAGGTAGAGAGGAGCGACCTTCCTTCAGATGTTGGGGGTTTTTTTAAAACGTGTTTCCGTGTTTTTTTTTAATCTTTAAAGACAAACCCTTATTGTAGGTTATATCCATAATAATAAACTAACTAACCTCTGACTGATGCGGGGAGCTAACTGGGGTTTCAACTTTGTTGTTCTGTTACTGTGAGATGTTTGGCTGAGGTGATGTTGAGAATTATAACTCATTATTTAAATGAAAGCTCTCTGGTTATGTAATTAAACATATAGACCAATGATCCCCCCTACTCACAGTCACAATCAGGGATGGGGAAATATATAATATTATCTTGTGTCACGATACATTTATCCAGGTGAAAATCCATTATTGGGATCATCTTGAATATTCTCTGATGGCTTGAACTGAAAAAGCTATCTACCTCGCCAGCATACAGTCCTGTAGTGATTGCCTGATTGCCCCACATCTTCCCTATTATACCCCAAAATCCTAAGCCAGTCACCGTGCCCGGCTGACCTGTTATATATCCCCCACACTGCATCTGTATCAGTAAATATGTGGCATTTTCTGCATGTGTTTCGACCTGTGTTACACTACTGTTTGCTACTGTATCCTTAACTACCATGCATCAGGTCCCAACTTACAATTAACACAGCGATTGTGTACATGCATCGATTCTACATGGTCCAGTCATTCACCAGGTTTCACAGAAATGTAGGTATTCTTTGTCGCGCTCGCCCCCCCAAAAGTCCCTGATGCAAACTGCCCGTCAGTCAACTCATGAATTTGTTTTGGTTTGCCACCAGGTTATTTCTCCCGCCGCGCTCTTCCTCGCTGCGAAGGTCGAGGAGCAGCCCCGAAAGCTGGAACATGTTATAAAGGTGGCCCATGCATGCCTCAATCCTCAGGATCCTTCACCAGATGTACGCAGTGATGTAAGTGTTGGGATGTAGTGAAAATCGCCTGCAATTGTGCTCCGCCTCAAGGGGAATGTATTATTTCATCAGAAGAATATGTGTTTATCTGTTTTTAATAATTTAACTAATTATTTTGTGTACATTCAGAATCAACAATTTGTCTATAAAACTTCCTGTGTGGCTGCACTTTGAGTTGAAGCTACTTAAATGTGTGACACATTTCCTTCTTCTGGAGCAGAGGATTTTCCAACAGCAGCTTCAGTGTTGATGCTTTTTAGATGTAATGTATGTTGTCATAAAGTTAACAGATATTTGGGTTTGTCTTCTTCTCTCTTTTTTGCACAATGCATTTAAACTGGGTACAATTGCTTGAAAGGGTTGTTTTTGTTTTGAGCTGTTGCTACCTCAGACATTGGGGCTGCTAGATACACGGGGTCGAGAGAGCAATGCATCCCAGTGTCTGTAGGTTCAGTCCTCCAGGTAATGTCATGTTTAACAGTTGTAAAACAAGTGCGTCTGTACTCAGTTTGTAGATCATAACCGTTTCATTGCTTCGTCAATTCTACGTGAGAAGGTGGGTTTAATATGTTTGACAAACGGATAGAGGCCTCCCAGTGAGTAACGTGCCTCCTGTCCTCTCAACCTCAGGCCTACCTGCAACAAGCCCAAGACCTGGTCATTCTTGAGAGCATAATACTCCAGACCTTGGGTAAGTTGGGAAGGAAGAACTGGGTCCCTTGATTTCCCTCCAGAAACACATTTTTGATTATAAAAAAAAAATAGTGCTAACCTGTTTTACTTTTGTCTACAGAAAGCCCATAAGCGGTTAGCAGCACTGGAAAGGGACATTCACGCTTCATATTAGCCGCTTGCTACATTACCCATTGTTTCCCCTTTTTTTTGTTTCTATTATGTCCTTAACTTTAACGTTTCCCTCTTTTAATTTTTTTATTTTTTTTTTGGGTTATATTTTTAAGCCAAATGTTTGAAGACCATGTGATGAATCATTGTATTGCTTTTAGCATCTGTGCTACACCTGCTTAATCCTTTCCCATGCTTTCAAGCTTGGAAGTAGGCAGCTGAAGAAGATAATTTAATGATTTAATTGAAAACAACAAATACATTTTTTTTTTTTTTAAAGCAAGATTCGATGTCGCAACCAAGAAAGAATTGGGAAAAGACTTATAATTTTATGTTTTCACGTCATTCAGGATGTTATTGGAAGACCCCATGAATATTCTTTACAACACATAGTTTGATATAACAGCATTTATTTTCTGGTTTCCAGGGAGTTGAATGGGATTGAATGAAATCTAAATGGTGCATATGTTAGTTTGGCTTCTGCATTTCATTTATGAAGCCGTGTCTCTTTTTGTCCCTTTTTTATTACAGCTTTTGAAATCACCATTGACCATCCACACACTCACGTTGTCAAGTGCACTCAGCTTGTCAGAGGTGAGCATCAACTCTTCAATTTACGTTAAATTCTGTTTGGATGTTGCTGATTTGAAGTTTGAACATTAAATTGTTCCTTTAGCAGATTTTAAGTGTGTTTTTTTGTTCTATTGTTGTTCCAGCGAGTAAGGATTTGGCTCAAACATCATACTTTATGGCCACAAACAGGTATATTCACAGTTCACTGTAAAACATAAGCTTCTGTGTTTTTTTCATATGAACAGTAAAATAGTGCAGCATGTGTTATATCAATTCCAAACTCAATATACTGAATATCTGTTCTCTCTCCTCCTGTTTCTGTTTTCTTTCCTTCCGGGACGTATCCTGCCACGTAGTCTGCACTTGACCACGTTCTGCCTGCAGTATAGTCCGCCGGTTGTGGCCTGTGTGTGCATCCATCTCGCCTGCAAGTGGTCCAACTGGGAGATCCCTGTGTCTACAGACGGCAAACACTGGTGGGAGTATGTTGATCCCACAGTTACCCTCGAGCTGCTGGATGGTATGTGCTGGAAATGATTTCACTATTCAGTATTTTCCAAGTACAAGCAGGAAGAACATGTTTTGAAATTCAAATCATACATTGGTTATAGATTAATCTGATAACTGATGATTTGAAAGTTTTTAACTTTCTCCAGCTGAGCTTCACTCCCTTATTTACAACTTCTTTTCAGAGCTCACACATGAGTTCCTGCAGATTCTAGAGAAAACACCCAGCCGGTTGAAACGGATTCGCAACTGGAAGGTACAGTTTTTCCCCCATTGCTTCTTTGTGACCAATACATCCTTCATTGTGCATTTTTTGTTGACTTGCATTTCATTGGTTGTCTCTTTTCTTGGCTCCAGGCTGGAGGTCAGACACCAAAAGCCAAGACAAAAGTCCAGGAGGAAGGGGACCAAAGGGACGCCATGATGAGCATGATCTCCATGGCCTCATCAGAGAGCACCGTGGCGGGCCTGATGAGCCTCTCAGCTCCACCTTCTGCCTCTTCTTCTTCCTCGTCCATGGGCGACAAGGACAGGGGTGCATCTGGCAGTGCTCAGACTTGGAGTGGGAAAGGTGCGGCTGTAACTGAGCAGCAACAACAGCAGCAGCAGCAGCAGCAGCCCAACAACGAGGTTCATGCCCCAGCCAAGGTATCACTGAGTGAGTACCGCGCCAAGAACGCAGACGTCCTGGCCGCCCAGAAGAGGAAGCTGGAGAACATGGAGGCCAGCGTGAAGAGGGACTATGCGAACGCTGCCCAGGCTCTCATTGGTCAGCAGCAGAGGAAGGACAAGCAGCAGCATCATCACCAGCAGTCCAGCTCCTCCTCCTCTGATGTGTCCAATCCTTCTCCAATAATTCTGAAAATCCCCCTGGAGAAGGAGAGGCACGACAGGAGCTCTCTGAAAATGCGTTTCCCCCTAGCTGGGGGAGGAGGCAGCGGGCACGGAGCCAGCGCCCGAGGTCAGGATCAGGACATCAAAGTCAGAATACGAGTGCCTGAGAAGCAACGGGGGAGTTCAGGAGAGGAGGGCAAGAGCAGGGACAAGCACAGGGAAAGGTCTAACCACCATCACCATCATCACCACCACCACCACCATTCCTCCTCTGGCAGTGCCTCACTCTCCTCTTCACACAAACATTCATCCAGTACCGGCGGAGCGGTCGGAAGCAGCAAAAAAGTCCCCAGCGACTCCTCTAGAACGAGCTCTTCGTCCTCTTCCACCTCACGTAAGAGGACACACTCCCAAGATACCACGGCGGGCTCTCACGCTGCCTCTAAAGTCAGCAAGTCCTCTAGGAATCCCTACCAGCTGCCGTCCCTGTCTTCCTCCTCTGGACAAACTCTGGGGCACGGTCCCGACATTCTGCCCAACCTGGGCCTTCCCCTCCACCAGGGGAGCTTTTCGCACTCCAAAGGCGACAAGACGGACACTAATGGACACGGTGCGACAGGCGGAGCCCAGTCGAACGAGTACCAGGACACTTTCGAAATGCTAAACTCACTTCTGAGTGCGCAGGGGGTCCAGCCGTCCCAGCCGTCCATGTTTGACTACAGATCCCAGTATGGGGAGTACCGGTACAGTGGTGGCTCCAGGGGGAGCAACCCCAGGCCCCCACCCCTACCTTCAGAACCACCTCCCCCACTGCCGCCCTTACCCAAATGAGTTCCTGACGTATTGTGTACATTGTACTTGACATCAGAAACATCCATATTGTTACATAAAGTATTGTATTCCTTTTTTTATTTTTAAACTCACCCAACATTTTTTTTTTTTTTTATATATATAGTGTGACAGCAGCGAAATGTAGTGGTGAGATAAATCAGTTTTCAATCCTTTTCTTTTTACAGTTCACTTGTGGGGCAATAATGAGAGGCTTTAAAAGCTTGAAAAATGTGAGGAAAAACAATTTACAGAAAAGTGTAGATAATTTTTTTTTTTTTTTTTTTTAGTTCTTCTGTTTAAACTCAAATGTGATGATGATGATGATGATGGGACCTGGTGTTTTTACCATCACTGTTTTGGAGGAAGTGAAATCATGAGGAAACTAAAAGATTTCCATCATATATACCTGTTAGATCTTCTTACAGATTGTCTTTTTATAATGTTTTTATAGTATGTTATTTATTAATTGAATGCTTTTTAAAAAACAAAACAAAAAAAGTCCCCTTTTGTACCTTTTTTTTTTTTTTAAGGTTTTCCCTCTATGTTCTTTTTTTGGGCAGAGGGATATTTCTCCACCAAGACTGTACAGGCTAGTTTGAGAGTGCATGTCTCCAAAGCCATCTTTTCAATATTTTTGTCTTTTTTAAAATATTTTCTTTATTTTTCTTTAACAGCCATAACCTAAAAAAAAAAAAAAAAAAAAAAAGCTGACTGCCCAACCCCCCCCGTTTATCTATTTTATTTCCTGTATTATTTGGTAAACTTGTACAAAAGACTGTAAAATGTTTTAAAAACAAAACATGAAATATTTTTTACATTTTTGTTAAGAAAAATTTGCAAAAAAAAAAAAGATGTAAATTAAGGAAAGCTTGTAATTTTTTTGGTTTTAGATTTTGAGTGTTGCAGTCATTGTTTTAAATGGTTGTAAAATATTCATATTCAGTTCTCTAATGATTACACTAATGGACAGTTCATACCAAGGATATAGTACATTTATGGTTTTATCAAAAGGGTTCAAAGAGTTCAAACATATCTACCCGGTATGGTCACAATGAAGGAATTTCCAATAAAAAAAAAAATCCCTCTAGAGAGGAAATGTGAGTTTTTGTCCTGTGATGTAATTGTCACTTGTTCATCAGTTTCCTCTGGAGGTCTTTGAGGGTGATCGCAGCTAAATGCAAAGATGGAAACAGGCAACGTGAATGGCCCCGCCGTCAGACGAGTCCCCTGTGAAACTGCCGTAAAACAAAAAATATATTTTCTACTGGTGCTCACTTTGTGGTGACCATATCGAGCACAGTATACAGTAAAGTATTCAAAATACACAATATCAAAGGCTAATCAAACCACATCTGTCTGTCATCCAGCTGTTAATGGTTGTCTTTCATTTATACATTTCCTTATTGGGGACGTTTTTAAATGTGTAAACTCCAGTGTACGCCTGTCAATTTGTGCTGGTCTGATTTTAATCATGTTTTTTTTTTTAAAAAAAAAGCTCTTTTGAGTCATGACCTGAGTCGTGACCTTTAAAACTACATTGGTGGATATTCAGCTTCAGATTGTTGTTTATGGTCCATCCACAAGCCATGATTCTTCAAAATGTTTGCATGTGTTCTTTAGTTCTGTAAATCGTACACTGCAAAGCAGGTTATCGACATTACCTCCACTACAAGGTCATAAGCATGAAGTATAATACTGTCTAATAAATTTGAATTAATGATGAATTCGGCTACGTTCACACTGAAAGCCTGAGTGCTCAATTCTGATTTATTGCTCAGATATGATTGTTTTTTTTCACATTACTGTTCAAATGTGGCCAAAATCAGATTCCAGTGTGAGCGGGTGATGATCCTGAAGTGATCTGCATAACATAACGTAGTCACATGAATTCTGATATGACTGTTCACACTGAAAAATCTGATCAGATTTCATGTGATTTCTGCTGCTCTCACAGCTCTGAGTCACATATGAGCAAAACCAAATCAGATTAGGGTCCCTTTGTGCCTGCAGTGTGATCACAGCCTTTTGTTTTTGAGCAAAATGGTGGAAAGTGTGCCATTTGTTGGCGAGAGAATCGGGTATCATCTGTACATTTAATTCATACTAAGCTTTATATGGTTTTGATTGTATAGTGTTACTGCTCTTTTACCTGCTTTCTTTTTTATCAGTTTGTAATCAAAAACTCATTTTTAGGCAGTTCACAGTAATGCAGTACAAGAAATCAGCCATACAGTTGTACAATTGTTTTTTGTTCCCTTTGATTATATGGAAGATAAGCTGAAAGAGTACAGCTCTTTGCTCAGGCAGCAGAGGTTTTTATTAGTTATTCAACTCTTGGTTGTAACAGGGAAACAGTAAATGCACTGAATATTTATCTCAGTAGGTTTGCCTACAATGCAATTGACAAAGTGTTACATGTATAATGGTTAGACTATTAGAATAGTTGTCCAATATGTCATTGCCATTTAAAAAAAACAAAAAAAAAACATTGTTTTATTTGATCTGGACAAATCTTCCAATTTAAGTATTAAACTTGATGCTGTGAGAGAGTCATACAAAAAGGAACACGCATTTCAAAACAAACCCATATGTGAGAAAAAAAATGGAAGACACTCATGCAACCTAACAATGCAAAAATCACATTAGCTACAATAAGTTTCGCGTTTTGTTTTTTCACGTCTTGGTGTTTTTAGTGACACTCAGGTCTGGAAATAAAACGTTTTGGGATATTTTGTTTTTTGTTTTTCAGTTAAAAGGATATATGTGAACACTGTTCTTTTTTTTGATATAATGTGGTTGCTTTATTCTCAATTAAAGTCAATAAATATTTTAAGAAAATATTGCGTTGTGCGTGTTTTTTTTTGCTGCAATATTGTGGGTGTATTAAAAAAAAAAAAAAAAAAAAAGATGTGTGTTTGGTGGCGGCTTTGATTGGCAGCCAGATTGGCCAATGAGATGCCTTGAATTTGAGCCAATCAGCGGTCCGGGTGGGCGGGCTCTGTGGCAGTTATTGGAGAATGCAGGAGAACCGACGGAGTGAGTCTCCGGAGCGAGAGCTGATCGGTCGACAGAGAAGAAGGTAAGCGGCGATAAAAAAAAAAAAAAAACCCAAAAAACTAGGTTGTGTTCCTCTCCTGGCACCGAGGCAACTCGGCGACATCGAGCAAGACGACTACCTGACGCCAACCGTCGGCTAAAATGGCTTTTTTTTTAGGCGCAAATTGCGATGGGTAACGGTCAGCTAGCATTAGCAACCGCTAAACAAAGATGGCGACTCCGTAACTGAAAGAGTGACGCAGTAGAAGAGAGGCGGGCTGAGGGTCGGGGTGGCGCCTGGTTGGACTAAAGAAATTTACTTTTTTAATTGAATTAAGCGATAAAACATTATTTTTATTCTCCACGTTAGTTCGTTTTTAATATGTTTTTAATATGTATGTTAATCTGACCCGTTATCTCTGTGCGTTTATGCATATTAATTTAAAATAAAGTTAATGTCGGTTCTGTAAAGCCACCTGACCTGGCAGCTTTAACGTTATTTAATATGAACCATTAACTTTCTTTCATGCTGGATCAACAAACAGGGCACTTATAACATAAACATTAATTTAAGTTCTGTTTGCAGCCTTTATTTATTAAGTCGACATACTTTTAAAAATGTTGATTAAATGGCTAAATAAGCCACGTGTAGCTCTGAAATGTAACCTATAACAGCATTAAAATCTAATTTACGTTTAAAGCATATTAATAAACCGACCTGTGTTGACCAAACTTGTTCTTAAGATGTAAGAAAACATGTTTGTTTGGTACAGACACCAACAAATGTGGCATCGTTTTTTTTTTTTTTCTAGCAAAAATTAAAATTGTGGTTGCAAAAAAAAGATCATTCACACTAATCTTTGCAACCGCAGTATCTGTCCAAAGTACCGCAATATGATTTTATTTCATTCTTTAACCATATTGTGCAACTCTAATCCGTATTAATCCTTAGATTACTCTATAAAATGCCAGGAAATACCAAACAAAAGTCTCTCTCGGAGTCCAACCTGATATTTTAATGTCTCGTTTTGTCTGACAAATAGTGAAAACCCCCCAAAATGTAATATTAATACCACACATGCCAAAGATTAGACAACAAATCCTCACATTAAAGAGTCTGAATCATGGGAATGTTTAGAAGTTTTGCTTGAATGTCTGAAACAATTAATGGATTTTCAGCATTGTTTGCCAATTAATTTATCGGCTACGTCCTCTGGTAGCTGACTAATTGTTTAACACACTCACTTATTAAGCTCTAATAATTTTTTTTCCAGACAATGAACAGGATACGAATCCACGTTTTGCCATCGAGCCGGAACCGGGTGCCCCAGACGCCTCGTCCCCAGGAGCCCCAGGCCTGCTCCTTCACGCAGCGACCGTGCTCTCAGCCCCGTCTGGAAGGCCTGGAGTTCTGCATCAAACACATCCTGGAGGACAAGAACGCCCCGTACAAGCAGTGCAGCTACGTCTCGGCCAAGAACGGCAAACGCTGCCCCAACGCCTCGCCGAAGGTCGAGAGGAAGGACGGGTGGGTGTAGAGAGTTTTAACATTTTGTGTAGACATCTATTTTTTTTTTAACATGTCTGAGCAGCTTTCTGACATCTCCCATGACTCCGTCGGTTCTGTAGGGTGACGTTCTGTGCGGAACATGCTCGCAGGAACGCCATGGCTCTGCGAGCTCAGATGAGAAAGCCTCCCTCCGGTCCGTCCCCAGAGGCACTGTTGTCTCAGCTGAGCGGGTACAACCGCGCAGAGACACACGGCGTCGATGGAGGCCGCTCCGAAGCTAGCCGTATTCTAGGTAAATGTTCCGACAAAGAGATACTGTAAACTGTAAGACACCTCATTGAAGTTACACTCGTGTGTATTGATGTTTTGAATCGGTAATTTCTCATGCAGTTTTATTTTAGAGTGTTTGAATGTGAGTTTAATGTTCACCCTCTCTGGACAGATGAGGACAGTCTGAGTGAGGAGGAGCAGGGTCCCTTGGTACTAGACCAGACTTGGAGAGGAGATCCTGACAGTGATGCAGACAGTGTTGACAGTGATCACGAGGATCCTCTAAAGTAAGCTGAGTTATTTGACTCTTGATGACACTCATATTTATGTTGTTGTGATTTTTCTTGGTTGTTAGCTCAGACATAAATTTCCTGCCTTTTAAAGAATAGCACTGTCCCAGTTTATATCTATGTCCAAAGACACACGGTGTATTAATTGTGTGTATAAAACTGCAAATTCTGTTTAAATCTTATGTTCTAATTGCAAAAACAGTATTCTATAACAATAAGAATATAGTACCTATTGTGTTTTAATGTGTTGGAGTTGTGACACTTTCCTTACTGATGTTGACGGTGAATGTTGTGAATCACAGACACGCAGGAGTGTACACAGCAGAGGAGGTGGCGTTCATCACTCGGGAGAAACTCATCAGGCTTCAGTCCCTCTACATCGACCAGTTCAAGCGCCTGCAGCACTTACTTAAGGAGAAAAAGCGTCGATACCTGCACAGCCGCAAAGTGGAGCATGAAACTCTAGGTAAATCTGCAAACATTTGCTTATTAACTTAACATGTTTTTCTTTGTTTACTTTACTGTTCCGCCGTTGTGTTTAGGAAACCATCACTCAGCAATATCTGTATTTGTTCACGTTGCTGTCAGGGAGCAGTCTGCTGACAGGACCTGAAGGTCTATCCATGAAGGAGAGGGAGAACCTGAAGAAGCTCAAAGCTCTGCGCCGATACCGTCGTCGGTACGGTGTGGAAGCCCTGCTGCACCGGCAGCTTAGGGAGAGGAGGCAGGCTGTGACAGAAGGAGCTCCTCAGGTGTGACCCCATCACAGTAGTGAAACTATTAGGACTTTGAGCTAATGTATGTAGCCATTAAAAATAGTTGTACCAGTCTTAATTTCCTGGTTGTGGAAGAAATACAGTTGTCCTTATGAAAACTATCAAAGCACAGGGGCTGTTGGTTGCCTACCACTGCTCTGTGTTAACCATTTTCAGTAAAGCTGCTTTATCACCACCAGATGGTACCTTTTTTTCTTTATTTAACCACCTCAGTTGAGGTTTAAAGCTGATACTAAAAGGTGATGTGCAAACACTGCAGACCACTGATTGGTCAGGACATCCTGAAATCCACAAACCCCACGTTTCTAAATAACCAACCTACCATCACTAGTGACCCCAATTTTCTTTTATTCCTGCAAAAAAAAACCAAATTCTGGTGAGTTGAGAGTGCAGCCGTATGAAGAATATGATCTTCTGATATTAGAGCAGCAGCTCCTTTTTGTGTGTGTACATAAGCGATGAAGAGCTTGGCGAATAAAGGCTGTAGCTCCCCAAGGCCAAAGTAAAGCTCCCTGTTGTTTCCCATCTGTGTCGCTATGACGATCAGCTCCAACAAACAAAATGTTATTCACTGTCATTGTGTTGCTGTAAAGGCAGAAATGACTGAAACTGACATCTCAAAAGGTCTGCATGCTCTAGAGTCCACTAGAGGTGAGAGAGTTTGATTTTCAGATGGTGCGTGTATAATAATCTGATAAAAGAAAGATGTTTTTGTTACCTTGCATTGAGCCTGAGACTGGATCACTTTCCGTGGAGGCCACCACGTTGAACCACAGTGTTTCTACAGTAGCCCAGAACGGCCCGACTGAACACGAGAGCTCTAGGTGGTGCCGTACCCTCTCTTCCTCTGACAATGTGGTGGCATCAACCAGTGTGTAGAGTTTAGCTTTTGCTTCCTTTGTCCATTAAAACGTCTCATTCTGAGGTAACAAATCCAACAATTCTTATTTTCAGGTGATTATACACTAATGAAAACACGCTTGTGACTATTATATTCCATTTCTACCAATAGATCCTCCCTAAATTGTAAAAGAAATCCTGTTGACTCTTTGTTTTTTTCCCCAGTTTACTGATTTTTATCTGATACTTCTTTTATAGCCACACACAAGAACAGTGTATGAGAAGTGCATCGCCTTTGTGGAGGGAACCCGGTGTACCAACCCCTGCCTGCCCATGACCCGGCACTGTGTCTCACGTATCCTCAGCCTGCGTTTGACCATGGCACTATGATCTGTTTCCATACAAAACCACAGATGTGTTTTCCTGTATTCACTGAAAAAGATATTAACATTCTTTTGTTTTTTCTTCCTTCGGCCCCGATCAAGACCGGCAGTTTGTAGTAGCTGCTGGTTTCAAAGGGAGCCTACATGAACTCCTTCCTGTGGTCTGTTGATTTCTCCCAGAGTTACTAAGGAGCTAATCTGTTCAGTTGGAAGGAACAAAACACCTTCTGTACCTTCCTTCATTTGAACCCCCAAAATCATTGTTTCTACTCATATTCCTGCACGTATTACAACTAGTGTGGCTAAAGTTTACGTTACATTACCCGGATTTTGTTTTACATTTTGAGATGGGAGCAGTTTCCTTTATCTGTCTGGTTGTTGTGGTTGTTTGTTTGTGTGTGGACATCGTGTCTCATTGTCCTTGACAACCGCGCACTCAGACATCTACCAAGACAGCAATCAGGTGCTTTTCAAAATGTGTCCAGGCCTGAAAGATGTCCCGTGTGACCGCACCGTGCACATGGGTCAGTCTGACGATCCTCGCTGCCCGCTCCACCTCACCCTGCCTCCCCCCATGTACCAGCCCGAGCAGGAACCCCCGCCACAGGAGCAGCTCACGACTGCAAGCAGAGACATGTATCTGAGTGCAGCAGAGCTTCAGCCCACAGAGAGCCTTCCCCTAGAGTTCAGTGATGTATGTAGACACTATGTTCCCCTACCACTCTCCTCTAATATATATGCATTGTAAAAACTTATCGTTAGATACTCTATGCTCGTGACTTTCACAGCTTCTGTAACTTCTTTGGTCCAGTTCAACAAACGTTGAGGAGGAGGCTTCGATCAGGGTTTTTCACTGGAAGCAGGTCAATACGATCACCGATCACTTGATCTATACGCAGTCTTCAACTTATCATGTATCTTTTTTTTTTTTTTTTAACTATTCTTAATAACTAAAATTAAGAGATAAAAGTATCATGAATTGTTTCTTTACTGGGAGATATTGGCAACATATTGCACCCTCTCTTAGAGACACAACTTAAACTGTAGCACGTTGGTTATTGGGAACCGCTTTGAGCTTAAATTTTAGCCTAATTTTAGCAAAATGCTACAATGAGACACTGACAGTTAATATACCAGACAGCCTGCCCAAATAAATCTATGCTCTATGTAAGAGACTACATGTAACTGTACTGTGGAATAAAATAAATGCATCATTTGATCGGCTCTTTACTCTGCCGATCAAACTGTTAAAGTATTACTAAATCCCTGTGAGAACACTTGCTCCACCCCACTAAACACAGGAAGTAGGTCCTGAAGATGGTCCGGTCTTCCCAAATCTCAAGATGGCAATGTACTTTGTTTCGAGTCCAACTCAGACCTCAATTCATTCTCCAGCTGCCCCCAACTGTTTCCACTCATCTGTATCCCCCCCCCGGCTGCAGGAGCTGTCTTTAAGAGAACATCTTGTAGTTGAGTCACATTCCCACCGCAAAGGAACCGCTCCATTTGTTTGTGACTGGACCAAGACCACTTCCCTCTGAAGGTTTCTCTGTGTGGTTGTGTTGAGCCACACCTGAGAGCGACTGCTGTGTTCTGATCAAACGGGAAAAAGCCAACAGAGGACTAAAGGAGGACCTCAGTCTATGAATGACAACACTGAACTATTAAATTTATCTGATTGTGAATTATCAGGAGTGATAAATATTTATGTAACCTCCTTTTTGGGAGTCATGGCAACAGAGTGTGTTTGCGATGATGATGCTGGATGCCTGTTTGTAAAAAGTCATTAGCAACACGAACGGAGCCAGAACTAAAAGGCAGAAATCTGTAATTGTTTTGTTTTCTCCAGACTAAACCGAACCACAGGTGTGAAACCTGGAAATAGTAAGACTGGTGTATTTTTATAAGAGTGCATTTTTATATTTTAAACCAGTGTAGTGATTTCTAACCCTGAAAAGTCCACGTGGTGATGCTTGCTTCCAATAAAAGTCCAGTTTGTAGATGATCAGAAGTTCTGATTTATCACACAGATCTTCACATTTGCTGTTGCAGTATTGTCTAATGTTTTTTATAAAGTACAAACCCATAAGTGTGTAAACAGAAATAAAATGTAACTGAAATGGTTGAAGTTTTAGGTAATAAATATCTCCTGTTGTACAGGACCTGGATGTGGAAGGGGATGGCATGCAGGGCCCTCCGTCCCCCTTACAGTTTGACACGGCCCTGGCCCTGGAGGACCAGACCATCAGAGCCATCGCTGAGGCCCCGATGGACATCCTGACCGGAGAAGACCCAGACCAGGTGGACCTGGACGCCTCAGGACAGGAGCTCTCAGAGAAAGATGTTGAAGCGATCATGGATGACCAGGTTAACTCTCATTTAAGGCCATCGTCATCGTGAAGCCAAACAGTCCTACAATTTCACTGTATGTCACTCTATCGGATCGGTCTAATAAAAGCTTGGTTGCAATCTGTGTCAGCACAACATCAATTTTAAGACAGAATATGTAATGATTGGTGAATCTGAGCTGGGATATAAATGGGGGGGGCATGCAAGTTAAAGGAAACAGTTTTAAAGTCTGTCTCAAAACAATCCTCACATGCCCGTATGTACATTAAAACTGTACCGTTCGTTCAGAGATCGTTTCCTAACGTGCATCCAGTCTGAAGGGGAACGATGTCCACAAACGGTGAGGTACTGAAACGTAGTCAGTCCGTATCATCTGCAGGTTGGAGAAGCAGACAGGAGTCCCATGACGACCACAGGGTCAGCAGAAAAATGTGTTTTAGCCACATAATAAACTCCCACTTAAAATAAAGTGAAGCTTGCTCTATAAGAACATTTTCACAACTTTACCTCACTGTCAGACACTTCTTCTCAATCTTTAACTGCCACATTCCTGTGTGGCAGCATGTCATAAAAGTGATTATGAGATGCAGGAGGATGGTGTTATAAACCACAGCGTACAGAAGAACTTGTACAAACATACCAAACAGGCTGAGGAAATGTAAAGAAGGAGGTAAAGTGATGAAAATTAAAAAGAATTTGTTTGTTTTTAGGGTAGAAGTTTTCAAACCGCAGCAGAAATGATTTATCGGAGTAGTTTTCTTGTTGGTTCCACTGGAAGAAATTGGGATTATTTTTATTTATTAAAGCAGGAAGCTCATAACTACACAACTATCATGTAAACTGTGAGATTTAAACACCTCCATAGTGTTTACTCTTTACTGATTGAGCCATAGTATAAAAGAAAACCCATATGAATTTTAAAAAAGTGTATTTTCTTATTAACAGTGAGATCTGTATCACGTCCAACCTCACAGCTCTCTGTTTATGTTTACAACACTGCCATCTAGTGGTTGGGAGAGTTCAAACACAAGAGTCTTCACTGGGTTTTATAATCAATAGAATATCATAGAATAAAATATCACAATAGGGCTTTTTTTAATATATTTTCTTCCACCCATATTGTCCACATACAGCGGACGTCCTTCCCCCTCTATAATCCTCCTGAACATCTTACACAGGCGGTCATAATATGAACTGTTTGTAGTCAACACATTTCTGTCATTGTCAGAATATGTGTTTCATTTGGGGTTTTTACGACACACAACCTGTTTACGGTCAGCTCTGTGTGTTGTAAACAAACCAACTAGCACATAAGAAAAGCCCACATTACTGGTGGAAAGGTGAAACACACCAAACCCATAACTGCTCCCGGGGCGCCGCTACGTGGACACCATCACTCCATATCTACGCATATATAATAAGTACAGGAAAGAAGAAAGAATTTCAGCCATTATTGAAGCTTTCTTTGGCTGACATTTACACATTTTTAAGCCCAAAAACTGCCCCAGCATTAAATCTACTCCTGTCTCCTCCTGTTCTTCCACCTAGGTGGTGTCGGAGGTCGTCGGAGGCGGAGAACACGCCACTGATAATTCACTCCAGGACATCGACGCCGCTTTAGTTGATGCTCCCAGATGAACAACCTCTGCAAGCACAAGAAAGTTTGATTTCCTCAAAGACTGATGCTGAGTTGACTTCAGAAGCATTTCCAATATTAGACTTTAACTGATCGTCCTTCTGTTTGTCAGGTTGGGTGTATTTATTATTCTGGGTTAAATTGCCTTAAAATTGTACCCAGTTAGTTCCTCAGTGGTTTGCATCAGTTTGTTATAAGAGAGGACGTCTCTCATCCATAAATAAACTATTTTATGACACTTGTGTTTGAACTCTTCTGTAGACATATATTCACAGTCTGCTTAGAACAATAATGTTTCTCTGGTTTTTCTACAAAAAAATATATAATTTCCACATTAAAATCCTTAAAATCTCATTAAGATTTCCAGAATCTATGAATATGGAAGTTTAAGCAACCAAAAACTTGACAATGATGATTTATATAACGGACAGAGCTTCCAGGTAAGAAGTGTCTTTAACCTGCATTCTGTGTAACAGCCAGCAGGGGGCAGCTCCACTGGTTGCAATAACACTGATACCATTCAGTCTTATGGAGAAATGAGTTGACTTCTCAGTAAATTTATGAGCTCAGTAAACAGTTTCCTGATGAGTTTCTGGTCTCAGTCTCTAGTTTCAGTCTTCTTCCATACAGCATGATGTTCATTTAGTAACTGATGGTCCCATTTAGAGTAAAACAGACCATAAAGCAGGGTATGCTTTAGGGCGGGGCTACCTTGTGATTGACAGCTCATTCTCAGTGAGTCCGTCCAGCTCAACGCACCAAACTGTCAGACAGTGCTGATCAGATATGGATCCAGATTCTGTTGTTGACTATTTCTCTCCTCAAATCTGTTCACAAACACATTTTACTGTTTATCTGGAATACGAGAGCGTGTCTGACCAGCCGTCCCAAAGTGTCTTTATATCTTTCTCGTCTCTGGACGTTTTCGTTTGGTGGATTCTTGCAGACGCCATTAGGAGCACGAGGAGGAACCAGATTATCTGTCAGATTATCCGTCTCAAATATGACAAAAGGTTCTTTTTTATAAACACGTACTGCAGCTTTAAGAGACGGCGTCGCTTGTCGCCTGTGATTTGTGTAAAACGAGAGATTTGGATGAATTTTTGAGCAGATTATTTCCAGTTTAAGGAACTTTTTTTTTACAATTATCTGTCTGTATTATGTTGTTTTAAATCATTTTTAACAATCATTCAGACTTAAAAGGATTCTTTTTGGACAAATTTTGTGTTTTCTTGTCCATTGTCCGTTTGACCATTATTCTATTACACAATTTACATTGATGGCAGAAGAACAAAATGTTGAGATATGAGACTGTTTATGTTATTAAATATTATTATATATAAGTTTTCTAGCACGCCTCAAAGGCTTTGTGCACCCCAGGCTGGGAACCACTTGCCTTTGGGTACTTTTGTGGTCCAATTGAGGCTTCGAAACTATTTGTGATGTCACAAATCATGCTCATAGGCCCCGCCCCTTTAAAAAAAAATAAAAATCAACTTTTCAATGAGCTCAAAGAAACTTTCCACTTCCAGCAGATGAATGTAAAAACATCCTTCTTGTGTCAAACTCTGCACAGGCATCATTCAAACATCCAACTGCAGGAAGAAGAAGAAAAACAGACTTTTGATGGGGGGGGCTTTAATGATCTCCAGATCTGAACAGATTTATAACCAGTACAGAAGTATTTAAAGTGTGCAGAGAATATTTTAAGGTCCCTGTAAACCACGATATACAGGGAGCTTTTTAAGTATATGGTGAAGTTATGTTTGGCAGCATGGGACAGCCTGAATGAGAAAAAAAAAAAAAATGGGGCGGGTAATGCAATTTCATGCAATGACATCACTTTTCCTCTCAACCCAAAACAGTGAACGCCGAGGCGGGGAGAGAGAGCCGCTGCTGCCGCTGCAGGGAGAGAGGAGCCCCGGCGCTGCTGCACCATGAACACAACACTCTCCCACATATAAACTCACACACATCTCTCTATCATGGATCCATCATGAGACAGCGGCGACAGTTTCCAACCAAATGAGGTGAGTTTTTATGAACCAGGAAAATGTCGTTTCATTGTAGCTTGGAGGAGGGGAGGAAGGAAAGAGGGGTGAGGAAGGAGAGAGGGGTGAGGGTGGAGCGGGGGAGAGATTTGCTGGATACCGACACAGAGGCTTTGGCATGCTTTTCATTGATTTAACATCCCCGGTGGAGTGGAGGTGTGAGCTGGAGATGAAGCTGAAAGATACGGTGTAGTTGGTGTCATTGAACGCCGCTGTGGTTGCGGGAGAAGCGAAGGGCGTAACGGCATTACGCGTGTCGGGGGGGTCGGTGCAGGGGTTTTTCAAGGGGTGGTGGGGCTGGTTTTAAGGGCCTGTCCCAAGAAGAAAAAATGGACATTTTCCTGAGCCCCTGTCCCTGTATTACCGTGTGACTGCATTAACATGGGAGCCGGTCCATCCCTGTCGCAGTCTGTGGCCTCGTTGTGAGGGTGGAGAGCTGAAAGAGGAACATGGAAGAGGAACTGTCACCTCAGTGCGGGAAGTGCGTGAGGTGCGTTTTATTTTCTTCCATCTGATGCAGAGAACATGGATTATTGTTGTTGTTGTTGTTGTTAGTGCAGTAGACAGTGATACTCCACAGTGTGAATGTGTCTGCAGCAGAGAGGATGAACCACCCTGCTTTATGTAAGTTAGGAGAGTTTATATTAATTACACACTGCATCAAGACTCCTTAAATCCTTAAAAATAAATAATAAATAAAATAATCTCAGGATTACGCAGATTTTGTTCATTTCTAAAGTTTTCCTGTTGGACACAAGATGTCTCCTACTTCAGTGACTCCCAACCTTTATCACCTCTGACTTAATTACATGTTTCATGGATATTTTATATTATATTCAGTGTAGAACAATAACTGCAGAGAACAGCTGATAAACAGTGAAACTCAGTAACTGCAGGAAGTTTTTAGCAGATTATTTCCTGTGAATATTGATCGGAAATTAGTTTTTTCTTATATTTTGAGGAGCTTTTTATACAATTCTCTGATAGTATTATGTATTTTTATTTTTTTATTTATTTTTAACAACCATAAAGACTTAATAAGAATCTTTTTTCTGACAAATTCAGTGTTTTCTTCTCCCTGAGGTTCGGCCATTGTTCTCTTACGTTGTTCTTCGTATGTTTCTAACACAGGACGAGGTTGTTTAGTAGATAATCGGAATTAAAAAAATAATGAACATAATGTTGAAATATAGTCCTACTGTGTATATTTTTAAAGTCTTCTTACACCCTTTAAAATCAAGAAGGCCTTTGCGACCCCCTGTGAAGCTTTGGCGACCCCTAGTGGTGGTATACAACCCCCCCCCCATGTCACATGTGTTAAAGTTGCACACTGGAGCAGGAAACAACCACCAGGCTTAAATCAGCCTCGCCGTAACGACGTTAGAGAATAAATTAAGATGGGAACAGGCTTGGGAAGTAATGGATTACATGTGACTGAGTATTCAGGTTACATTTAAAAAAAGATTTAATCAGATTACTGTTATATTTAGTAAAAATGGGGGTTATTAGCAGGATTACCAGTTTAAAACACATCACTTTTTCTTTAAAAGTGTCTTTAACTGAGCAGAGGAAACACTGATGATACAAAATCTGAATATTTGGTGTTGAGGTAATGTAGAAGTAACAGAAAGTAGTTAAGTTACATTACTTTAACATTGTGATCAGTAATCAATGCGTGATTAAAGCCCTGTGTTATAAACAGTGACATTTAAGGCCACTCTTGCATATTTAACTCACCTAAGAAATGTATGTCCAGTAGTATTTTGCACACTTGGTGAGTCTGACTAATAGTTTCAGCTTTAATAGGGTTGCTCCATATTGTTCTATTCAATCAAAGTAATCGATTACATCGCTGCCCATATTCCCGAATGCAGACTCTTGTTTGGAGCAGCGCTGGCAGTGATTACGTGTTATTGGATCATACTTTAACAATGCTGCTTTTCAGTGAACGTGATACCCTCCACATTTTCTGAATGGCATTCGAGTCACAAGGAGCGGATTGTTTCTTGTTTGTCTTCACATTGTGAAGGATTTTATTTGGCAATAAAACATGTGCCAGTAATCTTAATGAGTCGTAGGCCTATTCGGAGATTAAACAAGATTCAAAACATCTAAGATAATGCTGCGTTGCTATTTCAGAGTCCTTTTGTGGGGGGGGGGGGGAACATCCACGCTTAATGATCTGTGCCTGTTGGTTTACGGCCAGATATACACTCATGCTGTTCTCATTGTCTCATCGTTTTCTGAACAAAGACCAAACTTTAGGTCAGAAGCAATGAGGATGGAAGGATTGTTTGAACTTTCTTTGAGTTATTGGCTCGCAGAGATGGCCAACATTCAGGCTGTAAAATATTTAAGTTTCACTGAAGATCTCCTATGAAATGCTCGATGAATCTTTTAGTGTTTTCAGGCAGTTTGGTTTTTTTTTTTGCTTTGAAAAGAAATGACGTATCCCTCGTGCCTTTTCCAAATTGTCTGTTGATGTAATGTTGAAGCTTGTTGTTTTTGGCAATTGCAGACAAATACCGTATATCATGTAAGAAACCCTCGTAGACTTCGTGGCACAACGAGCCGTCGAAGCGGTGACCTCATGATTGGAACAAAGCGATGGACTGAAAGGGTCGAAAGAGGAGGATCAATCTTCTTTTTAGTGTTTGAGAGATCATCCAGGAACCTTTTTATCTCCTGAGCTTAAAGGACCAGAACGTACGATTTAGTGCGGCTCCAAACGTGTAACTACAGTGGCTGTCAAACAAAAAACACCCGATTTAGAGCTGTTTGGTTTGTCCGTTATGGGCTACTGTAGAAACATGGCGGCCTCCATTGAAGGCGACCCCCTCCCTCTGTAGATAACCCTCTCACAATGGACAGTTCAACACAAAAACCATCCAAATCGATGCAGCAGAACCAGATATATCATCTTTTTTTTATTCCATGCATTCCTCTTCCTTGTCCCTGGCGCCTACATTACCCACAATGCAGCTGCCAGCCTCAATCAGAGATTAGGAGCAGTTACAGAGGTCTGGTTAGCTCACTTCTTACTAACTCTGGGTTCCCACGCGTCCTGGAATCACCAGGAGAATCTGAATATTTATATAACAACTGGAAATTGATTAAAATGACCAAATAGTCTGGAAATAATCTATTTAGTCCTGGAAAATTTTAAATGTATCTTCTCCTACGTAAT